ATTTGCTTGAGTGGTACATCTTCTCGGCCTCTGTTGTCTTCTTGCTCACACAGTAGACCAAGCGCCATTTGCCGTCTTCGTCCATCTGTAGCACCATTCCTGCTAATCCCTCAGCACTCGCGTCGCAATGTACTTCTGTCTTGAGTTCAGGGTTGTAATGAGCTAGTACCGGATATTCGACCAGATCCTTTCGTAGTCCTCCAAATGACCTTCGCTGTTCTTCCTTCCATTCAAATTGTGAACCTTTCTTCGTAAGTCTGCTTAGCGGTTCTGCTTTCCTCGCGAAGTCCTTTACAAATCGTCTGAAGAAGTTCGTCAGTCCCAGAAAGCGTCGTATGTCGTGGACATTCTTGGGTTCTGGAAATTCTTCTATCGCTTTGATCTTTCTTGGGCCTGGCTTAAGTCCGCCTGTACTGATGACATACCCTAAGAACTCAACTTCCCTCCTTCCGAACTCACATTTGGAGGGTTTCAGTGTCAACTTCGCTGATCTTATTCTTTCGAGGACTTCCCTCAACCTTTCGATCATCTCCCGCCAATCCTTTGCCGGGATAATCACGTCGTCGAGATAGCAGAATGCCTTCTTGTTCAGCAGCGGACCTAGGACAGTGTGCATCAGTCTTTGGAATTCAGCTGGTGCGTTGGCGAGTCCAAAAATCATCCTTTCGAATTGACCTGTATCATCTGGGGTGATGAATGCTGTCTTTAATTTTGCCTTATCGGTCAGTGGTATCTGCAGATATCCATGCGCCAGATCCAGAGTGGTGAAGAATTTCGCATTCCTTAGGCCTTCCAGAAGGTCGTCTATCCTTGGTAATGGGAACTTGTCCTTAACTGTTTGAGTGTTGAGTCTCCTATAATCTACCACCAGACGATGATCTCCAGTTTTCTTCCTCACAAGTAGGACGGGACTAGCGTAGGGTGATCTAGTTTCCGTGACTATTCCATTGTCCTTCCACTCTCTGACAATCTCCCTGATTGCTTCGCGTTCACTTGCAGTCGTCTTATACGGTCTCAGACAGACTGGCTTGCTTCCATCAACCTCCTTAATGTCCATCTTGGTGACATCGGTGCACCCTAATTCCTCCATGCCAAGAGCGAAACAGTCTCTATACTCGTTTGCTACATCTAGGATTTCTTGTCTCTCTTTCGAAGTCAGAGAATGATTGACGTTGATGTCCTCAGGCAGTATGGGACGCTTACGTTTCATTTGGTCTTGTCCTTCCCTCTTCTCTTCATTTTTAGTCTGAAACGAATCCTCTGCGACGTCCAGGTTAACAACAATATCATCAAGGTTCAGTAGTTCAACCCGCCCTACACATTGGTTCTTCCTTACTCTCAACTTGCCCTTGCCAGCTGAGATGATGGGTACGGTCGTCTTTCCGTCGACCACTTCCAATAGGGAATCGACACAGGCGTCATCTACTCCTGTGAACAATACATATCCGTCCTTTACCTCGTCTGTGATTGCACTTGTAAAGTTAATGGAGTCGCTCTCCAACTGAACAGTTTCGGTTGCTCTCAGTTCGATGCGACGCGACTTGATTTCCTCTTGCAGATTAGTAAACGGAAATTCGGATGAATAGCCAATATGCAAGTTTTTACCAATTCTGGCGAAGGATACGTAGGGCAGATCTGTCCATGTTCTTCCAATTAATAGGTCATAGGGTTGGGCATCATCGTTGACAATGAATACAGTGATTTCCCTTCCGACGATGCCATCAATCTCCAGGTCGACTGTCGTCTTCCCAACGGTCCTGGCAGCTGGTGCAGTCTGGTTACCGATGCCGTACAGACTAGTCGAGTCTGGTTCGATGTCGACGCTGATCCTCCTTGCGACCGATTCTCTCATTAGACAACTGCTGCTCCCGGTGTCTATCATTGCCTTCACGGTTTCCTTGTTGTCGATCTTGACGTCCTTCAAATATACATCTGGCGGGACAGTCTCCAGTCCTTCGACTTCCAGGTTGGCTACTTTTAGTCCTTCTTTGGGTCTTGTGCAATTCCTTTCCTTGTGTCCCGTTTGACCGCATCCTCGGCATGTCAACGTAGTCCTGGGTGCTGGGCAGTCTCTGGCAATGTGTCCAAACTGATTGCAGTTGAAGCACTTCGGTTCTCCCTTGTCGTTTCTGATCGTACGGTTGACCATTCTTCTCAAGGTGTTAGGGTACGTTTCACTGATTTCGTTCCTTGCAGCGTCTTGACCCGAAACATTCGTTCCTTGTTTAGTCTCTTTAACTTCGCTTTGGTTGGGGAATCTCGCAGATTTCTGCTGAAACGACGGTGGTATGAGGTGTTTCGCATTCCAATGCGGAGGTCCCATCTCAGTGCGAACATTTTCGTACTCGTCCAGTTTATCCGCCAACTCATCTGGGTTGTTTAACTTGGTCCAATCGTCAATGAGATGATTACGCAGCACATTTGGAACTTTTTTCTTTAGCTGGTTAGTGACGGACAAATCCTTTAGGGCGTCGAAATTTTCCACGTTCATTCCTTCGATCCATTCGTTGAAATATCCTCGCAATTTGAAAGCGAAGTCTCTCCAGGAACCCTTTTGAGATCTCTCGTGCTTCTCGAATTTTTGTCTGAATTGTTCGGGGCTCAACTTGTACCGTTTTAGGAGCAACCTTTTCACGAACCTATAATCGCCGCTTTGTTCTTCTGTTTCCCGAGCGATTAATTGAGTCATTTCGTAAGGTAGCAATCCTAGGAGGCTGAACGCCCATTGGTCTTCATCCAATCCTAGTCGCTTTGCCTGTCTTTCGAAAAGAATTAGGTAAAAACTCAAATCATTGTCCTTCGACTCGTACTTGGGCATCAGTTTACGTATCTCGTAGTGTGCGTCATTGCTGGTACTTCGAGACGTATCGTTGTTTCCGCGTGTAGTCTGGATGCGCAGCTTCTCAAGCTCGAATTCCATTACCATTTGTTCTTTTCGTTCCCGTTCTATACGTTCTGCTTGCTCTGTTTGTGCTGTTTGTTCCATTCGCTCCCGTTCTGCTCGTTCTGTTTGTTCCCGTTCCTCGATCAGAGTCTCCAACAGTTGCTTTGCGAATTCTTCTTCGTAAGATTGACTATTCAGGATAAGGCGTTTTAAGTCGACGATCCTGCTCTCTGGCGGTACTACCTCGCCGAGTTCATACGCCAACTTGCTCAAATCGCATTTCCTTACTTTCGCTAAGTAAGTCATGTTTTTCAAAAGGAAAAATAAACAAGGCAAAAAAATTTTAAAATAAACAAATAAAGCTGACTAAACCAGATACGTACTGTTTCAATTATTTCTTTAAACGAAATAAACTTTTCTTTGGTAATTTTGAGACAATACTTTTTTTTTGTTTCTTCAATTTATTTTAAAAATACTTTCTTTAGAATACTTTACTTTACTTTAAAATACTTTCTTTAGAATACTGTACTTTACTTTAAAATACTTTCTTTAAAATACTTCACTTTACTTTAAAATACTTTCTTTAAAATACTTCACTTTACTTTAAAATACTTTCTTTAAAATACTTCACTTTACTTTAAAATACTTTCTTATCGAGATGATTTTGCAATAATATTTTACCGAGGTGACTTGTAATAATACTTTTAGGAATAGGTAATTAAATTTCGTACATACCATGCAACTCCTCTTACGTTGATCGGTCACCGCGCCACGTCCTTCTCGTTTCCAAATTATTCCAGTGAATCTTCAATTTTCTTCAGGACTATCCCACTTCTGAATTTCTGTTGGCTTCCGTAGGCGTTTCTTACTGGGAAAAAGAAAGAGAGGATCCAATAAAATAATTTAGTAGTGTTTATTAGAACAAAATCATAATAGTGAACAACACATATAACAGAGAGTACCGTCGTCTTCCGGGTATTCCTTCTACTGGGGAGCTCGGATTCTATATTCTGTGCGTTTATAATCTGTTTATCTGTGGCTCTCTGGTCGGGATGGCGCCTACAGTACATAGTTGGAAAACCCTGCAACCATTCTGGAAAGTCATTGTCCGTAGATGACCAGACTTAAGTCTGGAATTCAAAGACTGTTGTTCTCTTGGGAGGACAGAACCGGTGCTTGTCCCTCCTGCTCTGTACCAGTCATGTGCAGCATTACCTCATTTACCCAATCATGATGGATATCTTTTGAATTTATTCTATTAAATTATAAAGAAACCTAATACTTCTTTTCAGAGTTGTAAAAAAAAAGATTTTAATTCTTGATTTTTAAACCTGGTTTGTGATTTGTTTCGATACCATTTGGAATCTTCTGATACTGAAGTCACTCTGAGAAAGCTTTAGAAGAAGAATCCTTTAGTGAAACTGAACTTGTTGCACCAGATTGTGGCTTGGCAGACTTTTCAGCCTTAATTCTCTCCTGCACCATCTTTTGAATTTTACCAGAGCGTGTTCCAACCATCCTACAAATTTATATAAGGGAATGCCTATGATCAGCCTTTTTGAGTTGAAATCTCGCCTGGAATAGATCATGCCAGAATTAAAACCTCTCAATTCACTCTTCTATCTGTAATTTTTTTTTTTTTTTTATGGGAATATTAGATATTTCTATTATAAAAGAAGATATCTTGTAGCCAACTCTCCAAAATAATCTTCATCAATCATCTTGGAACTTGTGGTTCTATGGTCCCATCAAGAACAGGTTCATCAACATCACTTTTAGTGCATCTGAATAGTTCTCTACACATTCCTGACACTATGAAAACCAAAAAGACCAAGCCTATATAAAAGGAAGGAAAAAATAATAATTTTTCATTGCTCAACATGACTAGATAAGCAAACACTTCATCCTGGACCAAGTTATGTCAAGCTTCACAAACTCAGAACAAGATGACTCATTTACTATTTTAAAACTCTTATTCATCTATTTTTATTACAAATATAAACACCAAGAAGTAATGGCTTTTAAATAAAAAGGATGAATGTGCAAGAGTGTTGGTCTTGTCCTTAAAAAATGTCAAACCAGAAAATTGTTAATTTAACTGACTATACATTATAGTGTCAGGATGGCCGAGTGGTCTAAGGGGCGCCAGAATAAAGAGTAAATCTTGTCCTGTAGTGGGAATTGAATGTTCTGGTCAACTGATGTGGGCATGGGTTCAAATCCCACTTCTAACACCCTTTTAGCTGACTATAATTCAATATGTGATATCAGAATTCAAACACTCCCTTGAAATGTTTGAATCAAAAAGGTTTGACTATATTTTGTTTATCAAAAGGAAAGGTTTAATAATATTCTTTATAATAAATTTACACTTTAAATATTTGATAAAGCACAATTTGATTAGATTAGAAACACAAGGTAATAAGACCGGAGCATCACACACTATTTATTTAGATTTGATCTTATTACCTTGTGACTTTAAATTTTTAAAGAGGAATAATGATTCACAGTTGATCTTTCAGAATCCCTATATATATAAAAGTCAGTGTATGTATGTTTTTATGTTTGTCGGCTATACATGTCCACAATACATAACTAATCTGACTGAAATTTTAACAGTATATATATAGTAAAATCTGGAAAAACTTATAGTGAAAATTTCAGGTCTCTATCCTGAATATTCTTCGAGTTATTTGCAAATTTGCCCTTTTGCTCGCAAGCAGAGCCTCTAGTGGTGAAGATGGGAAGTAATATCAGCTGACCTAATGTTCATGTAAAACATGTTTTAACAGGACATAGAGAAAAATCTGGAAGAGATTTTTGTCGCATTTTAAACCAAGAAAAATTGAAATTGACAAGTTCTTGGTAAAAATAGTTGTTTTTTAGTCAAAAAATGATGATGACAATATTGCTGTATCATAAAAGAAAACAAGACCTAATCCAACACACTAACACACTAATAAATTATTTGGATTAGGTCTTGTTTTCTTTTATTATAATCTATAATCCAAATTGTGCTTTATCATTGCTGTATCATGTTTGATACAACAGCTAGTATATGATAAAAGTGAACAAAAATGTTCAAAACTACATTTTCTTTATTTGATTCAAATGACTTTCTCTACAAGGCCTTCTTCTTTTTCTTGAGCAAGGCCATACCCTTAAAAAAGGGAAAGAAGGAAATGTTTTTCCCTAACATCCTATAATTAAAGATTGGGAAGATTTTTTTTCCCCTTTCTTTTTACAAGAGAAGTACATTGTATTGTGAAATGGTGAAGTGGAGTATACACATATCTTGGTGTCTAAATCCACAGTTGCTGTTGTCAATCACCATTTTGTGGACCCACAAGTAGGCAGGAATCCTATTTGAAGGTATAGTTGGGGCTGACTAGGAAAGTGAAAAAATTTCAATTTTATTTATTGCAGTATAAAGGCTGTAAAAATAGTTTTAATTATAGTTATATGATAAAGCACAATTTGGATTATAGATTATAGCTACATGTTTTTTTCAAAAAGTTGAAAAAGGTGTTTATATTAAATAGAAAGAAACATCTCAAAAATTTATTTCTGAGATGATCAGAGTAAAAAAAAAGCATTTTTTAACAATTTTTTAAAAAATAAATGTCCAATCTGCACCAAAAATCTTTTTTTTTTTGTTAATTAACCCTTTTTGTACACAATGAATATTTCCCTTTGTATAATAATGTAACCTGATTTCCCAACATTTCATTCTAGCTCTAGTTGATGGTAATAGATGTAGTAAACGTTGTTGTTAGCTTTACATGACCAAGTTTTGACTTTTTTTTTGTTGGAAAACACACAGTCTTTTTTTTAATTATTAGCTGCATTAATTGAAATAAGGCACTACTTTATGCTACCAGCACTAGCTACCAACAGACATTAGCACATCAGACAGCTATATAAATGGTTAAAACTGCTGTTAATTGGAAGAAATTGTTCCACCAACCAGACCTTATAATTGAAAGGTAAAACACAAGGTAATAAGACCAAATAAATAAATAGTGTGGGACATTTCTATAACAGTGTTGTTACTGAAATGTCACACACTATTTATTCATTTGGATTTGGTCATTTTACCTTGTACTTCTAATCTATAATCCAAATTTTACCTAATCATTATTGTAAAAGGGGTGGTAATTATGTCATTTATTTCTCCAAGAAAATAAGACCTAATCTTAATAAATTAATAGTGTGTGACGTTTTGTTAACAGTGTTGTTATCATCACCAGACAAAAGAATAAAAATCTTGTATCTATAATCCAAATTGTGGTTTATCACATCTACAAGAAAGTGTACAACTTAGATTCTAGACAGAATTAAAATGGCACAAACCCACAAGAATGAATCCAATCAAGTTTTGGTGTCATTCACATGTGTCATGTGATTACTTACATGACTAAAGAGAACTCATCATGCTGATATCATTCCATTCCCCAGTGAGTCTCAACATGGTGCTTCTTCATAAGGTTGGTGGTTGTTCAACTAGAAAGTGGCATGGGAGTTCAACATTTGTAACCCTTTCCTTGAAATAAGCAACAATCAAAGGATGAAAATTGTAAACACAAGGTACAAATCCAAATAAATAAATAGTGTGTGATGTCACACACTATTTATTGTAATTTGGTCTTATTACCTTAGGTAGTTTCTCTCTCAGCTAGAGAGTGGAATTGGGGTCCAACATTTGTAAACCCTTGCTTGAAATAGGCAACAATCAAAGGATGAGAATTGTAAACACAAGGTAATAATCTATAATCCAAATTGTGCCTTATCAATGAGAATTGTGTTCACAGAATGTTCCCCCTGTTTAGAGAAGAGATAAAAGAGGCAAACAAAGCAACATTCAAGTTATTTTTATCTAGGTATTATTTAAATAACAGCATTTTACCATGATAAGGTACAATTTGGATTATAGATAAGAAACACAAAGTAATAAGACCAACTAAATAAATAGTATGTGATGTTTCAATAACAATGTTGTTACCATCAACAGACAAAAGTACTGAATATATATATAGACAGATAGATTTCGTACTTTTGTCTGATGATTGGTAACAACATTGTTATTGAAATGTCACACACTATCTATTTATTTGGTCTTGTTACCTTGTATCTTACCATTATCAGGTTAGAGTTCCCATTATCCTGTTTTATTAGTGCATTAAAGCATCACTAGATTACAAGATGAACATATCTCGTTACAAAGGAAAAACTTGCAAGAACTAGAATGTCCTTCTTCACTGCCTTGTTCCTTCCCATTATCAATAAGAATTCATCTTCTTCTTTCTTATCTCCACACTTGGTGAAGTAGAATGCGTCTGCCTTTGTCATTAAGACTGGGAGCACTACTCAGTGGCAGGTCGACTTAGCTCCAAAATAAATGGCCGTCTCTGACATGAGGAACAGACGACATGTGCAGCCACTCCTAACATGGAATACAAACGCTGCTCATCCTGTATCCCTTGATTAGGAGCCCTTACAGGGTACTATCAGCATGGCCAGCTGAGCCCAGGTTTTTTAGTGAGCTTGTTACTGCTCCCCCTCCTGCTTTTTCATCCGGGCTTGGGACCGGCAAGGGCGGAGTTAATTAGAATTTATTAAATGGGATGATTAACTTGATGTGATATGTACTGACAGACACCACTTAGTTTCACTTCATGGATGAAGTTACTTGCAGGGGCACCACGGCAAGTTGACTGCCTGCCCTATAGGTGCATTCAATCAAACAATTTATTATTTTTAAAACAAGGTAATAAGAGTAAAATTAATCAGGTCTCCAGGGAAAAGTGTATTTTCAAGGTAATAAGACCAAATCCAAATAAATAAATAGTGTGTGATGTTACGGTAACAACATTGTTACCATCTTCAGACAAAAGTATTGAATGAGAAAATATATCACAGCATGTTTTAAATAGTTAATTGTTATCAAGTGTGTAAACAAGATAGTAGATAAGAAGAAGATAGTTTTCTATGAATCCTAAAATATTATTCTTAGAATTAAAAGTTGTTACAGAAACGTCACACTATTTATTTATTTGGATTTGGTCTTATTACCTTGTTTTTACAATCTAATTGTACCTTATCAATTTATTATTTTAAAGGGGGTCGGTGGAAGGATGGTCTAAACCGTTGGCCCCCTATTCTTGCAAAAGTTCAACCTCACCAGCAAGTGCAAGTAACCAAATGGGGCTTTGGCACATTTTTAAGTGCAAAGTCGAACTGCTTTTCACATGTGCAGACATGTGGTGCACTTACAGTAAAAACAGTCGCCTACTTTACCCACCATGATTATGGTGTCATGGATGTCAAAAATCAGTAGTGTCTATGTAATCCCAGTAAAAGTTGTAGCCACACTCAAGAAGATTGTTTTTATAAGACAAAATAAAAGGAACAGAGATAGCAGGAGTGGAGTGTCAATGTTGACACATCGCAGATAACAGTCATTTATCTGTCTGCCAATGGATGAGATGAGAGGTTTTTTTTTTTGGGCGGCTCTTTTCACAGTAGGTGATAAATGTTCAAGAGTGTTAAAGAATCTAGATAACAACTCTGTTATACCTTCAAGTTGAAAGAATGAAACTTTTTTTTTTTTTTTATATACACTTCCTACACACACACCACACATCCCTACTGTAATCAGAAAAATCTTGACCTGTCTATCAATAGTTCCAGTAGTTTTACCAGTTTATCTGACAGATAATATTGTATTGTAATGGACTGTTTCCTCTCTTAGACTATAGACTATTTGAAGGAATGCTTGGTGAAGGTATTTAAGGAAATAATGGAAGTATGCTTTGGGACAGTAGAATTATTCACAAATACACTCATGAACAAAACTTAAGAAAGTTGTACCTTTTAGCATGTATATCGGGATTCAGACAATAACTCTGGAAGATATTTGATACACAGTAATTTTTATTGAAGTCACATGAGATAACCAAGTGTGAACAAAATTGCTTCTGTCTCCTTAAAAAAAAATAGGCTACTAGCAACATCCAAAATATGAAACTTCTTTAAGTTTTGTCTATGAGTGTACTTTAGTGCTGCTAGCAAAATAACATCCTTACTTTACTTATATTTGATAGTTATTACACTTTTTAAAGTGTCTTGCTTATCTCCACTCAATCCTATTGAAATTTCAACTCTGAAAATCTTGAGCTTTCTGATAGTGTCTGCTGGTTAGAGCTCATGGGGCTGGAAGTTGTACTTGGTGGGA